TGCTACGTATCAGGCACAAGAGTTTCACTCCCACAAGGGTGAAGAAGGGGAAAGGGCTGAACACATTCTTGTCCTCCTGAGTGCTAGTGCTCCTCTTTCTCCCCCAGTACTTCACACATATCCCCTTTCTTCCCTCAAAAAAAAAAAAAAAGAAAAAAAAAAGAGGAAAAGAAAAAGACTTACTTGTTTTGGATTAATTGTGTGTCTAACAGGTAATTTGGGTGCCAACTGCTGCTCTGGGTGCACAGAGAACTGGTTGTCTGGGAACAGGTAAGGCAGTGAGAGAAGACAGAGGAGACCCCAAGAAAGATTTTTCCAAGGGCTTCACTGACCTTCATCTTAAACATTAAGTGATATTACAAATGGCATGTCTGTATCATTAAAGATTTAGCTGGCAAAGCCTTATCACACTCACTATCACCAGTTTTAATTTAAATTAGGTATCCAGGTTGATGAAATATATAAAAGCTATCCAAGTGAAAAAGAGCAGTTTTATAATTTCAGAAGACAAACTAGAGATTGCATTTGAGGCTACCTGGTGGGAGTTTGGGGAAAGGTCATGATTGGCTAACGGTTTTGCAGATAGCTGAAGTTTTGTGCAGTTCTTGATTTAGTGCCAAAAAAAGGAAAATGAACTCTAACTACCACTTGTGTGGACAGATTTCCTACTCACAGTTGGGCCTGGTTCTCAAGGAAATGCTACTTAGAGTCACAGATTTAAGAGTTGGGGTGGGGTTTGCTTGTTTTGGGTTTTTTTAATAGCTCTCTGTTCTGTGAGAGATAATAGGACCATCAATTTTTGTGTGCTTACTCTATTTCAGTGACCAGTGCCAAAATTACCTGGAGTGTAAATAGGCCACAATCCCATTGACTTATAAATGAGTGTAATGAATCTGCCAACAAAGCTGAAGTTAACTGCCCAGCACATACTTAACAGGCATCTAGCGGTAACCAGACATCATATAAACCTGGCAGCAATCATCACAAGTGCCACATCTTGTAAGAGCAGCTTACAGATCACAAAAGTGAATCAAAAATTGCCTTTGTTAGAATTAGGGGGCAAATTAAAAAGGGGATATTATGATCATGATGATAACAGAAAGGCAGCTCAGAAAGTTACTTCAGATTTTATCTTACTGTCCTACAGTAAGGCATCTTCAATTTCATTTATTTTGCTTTTCTTTCTTCACAATGTCTCACCTATTTCTTTTTACAGCACTTCCACAAGGAAAAAGAGTAAATCACCTAATATGTGACCATCTGACTTTTTTTTTTGTAAAAGACTTCTAAAAGGACATAAATGAAGTCAAGAATTTTAAGACTAATAAAACTTTTTTGCCACCTTTAATAGAATTCGATTCATGCCATACACAGTATGCCTGATTGAAATATCAGGTGTTTCTACCCCTTCAGCTGAGGGGTGTCTTGTCTGTTATTGGACTATTTTTGTCCTTCAGTTTTACCAGTTCCAGACACAGCTCATAGATCACATTCACTAAGGCATTCAGCCATTTAAGACACTGCCAAATTGCACTGCTTCAATGCAGAAGTTACTTGGCTTAGATATATCTTAGAAGTTAAGGTTCCATTGTCACATTTTTCTTTTTCACCTACAAGTAGTTCTGTTTATTCCCAACTCAGCAGCCAAGCTATTGATTAAGTTGGCTTAGGTCAGTCCACCCTGCAGTTCCAGCCTCAATCCTTTCATTGTTTTCCAATAGCTTGCTTTATTGATTTAATGTTCTTGGTTCTGACTTTAGAATCTTGCTTTTAGCTTTAACACTGTCCTGTGTTCCTTGCTCAAGTTTTATTTTACTGTCACCTCAAACTGTCCAAAGAAATTGCAGTCAAATGTAAAGATGCGTTGGCTGAGCTAAAAGGGAACAAACTAAATTAGGCAGCAGTAAAAAGGAACACAGGGCCTGTCACAGACTAGTTTCAGAATACATATTTTTCAATCCATGTTCATATTATGCAATATCAAAAGCCCTCTTCATAACAGCCATTGTACCATTTCTTCCACTCTACTAAAACTTTCGGGAATCACTGATCCCCTCTGCATAGTTGACTTGGTGACCTTGGATATCTGAATTCCTAAAATGTTTTCTATTTATGTGGATTAATTAAAGACAGCAGTCCAATTTTTTACCATGTCATATATTGTTGAATTACATTTGTGCTGAGAAAACTGTAAAATCTCATTATTCCTCTGGAGTAGAACTTCTACACTCTTTGTCCGGTGGGGAATCAGGCATACAAATCAGACTTGAGGTGCTTCTGTGAGACCCCCCACCTGTAAATCTGAGGGCAGAATGGGTCCTCTACAACACACATAGTTCCAATATGTGAATTTGTGTTTTGCAAAAAAATCCAGTGGTAGTCATTTTGCAGTTCTGTATTACGCTTCTGCAGCTGAAATTAGCATTCTGTCAGTGCATTTAGTTTGTTCTATTTATTTTACTGAAAAAGCATGGAAGATTTGTGTGTGAATAGTTCTAAATATATATTTTTTCATTGAACTAAAATATTGTTTGGGTTGGTCAGTAAAAGCTTTCAAGAAATGTATGCTTATGAAAATGTTTATTTCTGCAGAAAGAAATATTCCATTATTTGCGTAGTTGACAGTCAGCTTTGTTGTAGTTCCAAATGAAAAAGGGAGTATGCTGATTAGAGAAAATACAGCCATGTTCCATCTTCCTCCCCTGCTTCAGTAAGAGAAGAGCATTTGCATATTAATTCTAGGACTGAACAGCTGCATTCCCTAGAAAGCTCCATTCATTGCAGCAATGAGCCCCTGAAACCAGGCAGGAGGAAAAAAAAAAAAGGAAAAGAGAAAGAAAGAAAAATAAAAGAAAGAAGTGGGCATAAAGCTTAAGGTAGATAGAGACTAATTTTGCAGTTCTTTATTTCCAAAAGGAGTACTTTTCATTTTAAAGACTGCACATAGACATTTCCATAAGGCCTATCACAAGAGTATTCCAACCATCTGACCGGCACAAGGAATACTCTTATTTCCATTTCACAAAATGGCAAACAGAGGCATAATGGGATTATTTACTAGGCTTCAAAAACTATTCACCTACAAATTTAACTCTCTATTCTGTGTGAGAGCCAGGTGATTTGCCCAGGATTACACAAGAGCCATGGCACAGTCAGAAATAATTTCCATCTCTAGCTCCCACTTCCATGTCTTATTCCTCACAGTACAGATTCATGCTTGTCTTCTCTACTGTTTTGTTATATTACATAACTTGAAAATATGCTGAACGCAGAGATACAGAGTTGTTTTGACAAGAACTACAACCAAGGCTTTGGTTTGTTCTGCTCATCTGCAAAAATTGTCAAGATGGAAGACAAAGCCTTCTGTGAGGCACTGAGCATTAATAAGTACCATAAGTTGCTATGTTTGAAGCACAGAATAATATTGACAGCAAGAAAAAAAAATCATTAACTCCTGTCTTAGATGGATGCCATTCATGTTTTCTGTGAACTATGTCTGCAGCTGGTGATTGCCTCTGTGATCAAGAGATGTAAATGAAAACAGGTAGCCTCTCATAGTGCTTCAGAGAACAGGATTGGTGGGAAGCAGGAAAATCTCTCTTCACTCACAAGACAATACTTAATCTTCCTGGCATCACACACTTAATCTACACTGGCATCACAAGTGTAAAATCAAACCAGAAACATATTAGAACAGACCGGCAGAACTTTTCTTGAGGAGGGTCTATTAAAAGAGTAACACTTGACATTAGAAAACACAAAATTACTCTGCTGAAGGTCCAGTCCTGGACACATTTCAGTACCAACATCAATAAGTCCGAGGAGATAAACAGGGACTACTTTTATGAGCAATGGAGCTGTAAAATTCCACAGCATATTTATCTAGTTTAAGAAGGTCTCCTACTTCCAAGTTACTTTGGCCACTGATATCTATTCCTACACATACAGATGCTCCAGAACCACTTGGAAAACTCAATTAATGCAATTGCACAGTCTAAAAATAACTCTCCAAAACACTGGTTTTGATTCAGTCTGTTTGAATTCAATCATCAACACCCAGATTAATACCTACAAACAATGGAAGCAATGACAAAATTCTTCATCACAATGTTTCAAAGGATTGCCATTTATCAATGGTTTAGGGAGAAAAAGAAGCATTATTGATCTTATTAAATATCATAAATGCCTCCTGACCCTAAAGTTAAGGAATTAGGAGATAGCTGTTGTACACAAGAAGTAACTAAATGTCCTTAGCAGGTTACATGCCTCCTCCTCAGCAGGGTCACAGGCACCAACCATATTTGCCTAGTCCCCCACCCTTGGAGAGCTCTTTGTGCATCACAGCCTGCAATGCATGGTAGAATGCCATCTTTTCTACAGCTCACTGAGTCCCATGCACAATATCTGATTATTTGCTTTCTTCAAAAATGTGTGCTATGCGCTAGCAATAAAAATTAGGAGCTTGCTCAGCTGCCTTTTGGAACTTCCAACAGTGTTTTTATAGAGACTTTTGCTTAGTCCTCCTCCCCCATGTGTTTTTCTTCTTCTAAATTAGAACTTAATGGAACTTTTGAAAGACAGAATCCTAAGTTAAAGGCAAAGTAACATTTTTAAAGCTTATTCAGCTGCAGCTATGAGATCACACGGTAAACTACCAGGAACTGAAATCATGCAGAGGAGAAATGTCAACTCTTAACAGAAAATGTATTTGAAAGAATTGTGGTTAAAAAGAAAGAGAGGGGAAAGTCAATAGAAAAAGAACTCTATCATTTCTAGAAATGCTACCATTTTATGTCAGCCATCTAAAGGACTCACATGAGCTTCTACCTCACAACAGATTACATGATTTGTAAAGAAAACATACTTGGTCTTTGCTATTTTTCCTTTCCTCCCATTTTCTAAGAAGACTTCCTGCTCAACTGGCAATTAGCAAGAGCATTACCAGTGTATCATACTGTGTTCAGGAGAGCAAAACCAGCCATAGAAGAGAAAAGTCATACCTTCTGCAGAGTCCTTTCACAAATGGTTTTCATATTTGCTGGTTTTCACAATACAGCATTCCATCTCCTGGAGCATTTCATTGTGAGTAAGAAAGGTTGCTGTGGAACTTCTGCCTTGTTAACCAAAACAACCAGGAACCAACGGGCCTCAGCTCAAGGCACCCAACAGCCATGGTGACACTTCCACAGTTCTGTCCTTCTTCAGCAGTACCCTGTAGATTTAAAAAAAGCTGCAATGATTGTGACAGTCACATTTGAAAATAATTTCTGCAAAATTCTACATTTCTGCAAAGCTCTTCCATGAATTTTCTGCACAAAATCATTTCAACAACTTCAGCCTAAATATGACAAGTGCAGGAACTTTCATCAAAATGCCTCAACTCTGTAGAATAAGCCCAGCTTGAAAAACTTCAGCATCAATTACACTCTAAATACATAGAATTTTAACATCTGGAGAAAACTTGAATTTTCATCAAACATAAGGCTCAAGTGATGTCTGACTGAGCAGTTCAAGAGGGCTTCTTTTAACTAAAATACCAAAACATATGTTGCCAGGAATTTGGCTAGATATAAACATTTCCTAGGACATTTAAATGAAAGATTTTTCCTGCCCAAAGTACCTTTTTCATAGTCACAAAACCAGCCCAGGTCTAATTAACAGCATTATTTCACTAATTATGCATTTATTGTATAACTCTTTGAAGGCAAACTAATACAAAGAGAACCAGATTGATTATTTAACATAAGTTATAAGGATAAAATTTTATGTATAATCAGGTTTCTACAACTATATTGATGATAGAAATTTTAAAAGTACACTAATATTTAAAATCTTGAAGTACATCTTCAAATATTCTTCATTAGTTTCTAAAAGTATTAATTTTACTTAGGAAGTCAAGAGGTCATGGGCAAGTCCCCAAAATTAATTTTGTTTATTTTTGGGGTTTGCTATGCTTGGTTTGGGTTTTCTTTTTCTTTTTTTTTTTTTTTTTTTTTTTTTTTTTTTTTTTTTTTGTTGTTGTTGGAGGGGAGGACTTGACTTTTCTTAATGCCCTCAAGAAAAAAAAATGTGCCACCTATTGCACAGTTTCACATCTTAAGCTTCTTGACACCTTGCAGGTATACCCCACTCCTAAAAGACAAGATCAAAATTGTATGATTTTAAATTTTTTATGTTTTTATACCTTTTCTTTCCTGGGCAATTCATGTTTAATATATGTTCCAGGTGGTTGAAAGAGAAGTACATAGTTTGGCATAGACCTACCACACACTTTTGTCTTGCTCAAGACAAGCATACTATGTTCATGTCCTTAGCTTAGCTGAATGGCAGATTTATACTGATGTCAGAGAATGAGCAATTAAAAGAGTTATCCTTATCAGCAGCCTTACCTGAATGATATTAGAGAGGGCCAATCACATAAACCAGGACTAAATTCCTGCCAGGCTTTTGAACTGAAGCCATTGAGCTGACTTGGCTTTATGCGCAGAGAATTAACGACAAACTAAACACCACTTTGCTGTCACAAAGCAATATACTGCTTTCCCCTGACTAATCCAGATGTCCTGTATTTACCTGTTTTGGCAGAGAGGAAGGGACTGCTTGAAGCACTACCTTTCTCTCTGCTCTGTTGCCCACTTTCATATGCAGGACAGTGTCACACCGTCCTCAAGCTAAGGGATGACTTCTGGTCAAACAAGCATAACCACACTTTCAGTTTGCACATGAAGATAGCTGGCCATAAAGCTGGGATGTGGAAACAGCACAACTGCCAGGAGGCAGAGAAGGTCAGCTCCATCTCAGTGCTGCTCTGCTACAGCTACCTGGTAACCACAGGGTAAACTATCTCCCTTTCAAGAAATTGCACACATACACTTGGGGCTTTTTGGTTTATTGTTTTCCAGGCTTAAATATCAGACTTTACAGTCCTAAAACTTTGGAAAAAGGGCTTAAGAGAAACCAAACAAACCTGAAAGTTCAGGAGACTACCATATATACACATACACACATACTAGTTGATAAGTAGAACCATGGCAAAGTTTTCAGTCAGAGTAACACCACTCTAGGGAGCTATAAGGTCAGGAGAGATGCACAACCCTCAGCATCCACATGAATGAGCCTGTTCTGTTCAAAACCTGCTTGTCAGGTACCTCACCTCTTTGTTTTACCAAGTTCATGGTGTCTGAGCTGTACTAAGTGCCAGGAAATCACTGCCTGGGTTCATGTGCAGATCAAACATGTCCCCAACTGACTTTACCCACCTCCTTTCTGGGCTATTTGGTTCAAATCAGTGTTCTAAGGACTTGTATACTTAAACATGAATAAATAGCAGATAATATCTTTCCTATCACAATTTTCATACCAGACAGAAATAACTGTGCTACACACACATTGGACTAAAATCATTCTGTTATAGGAGGCTGGGGGAAGATATGTAAAGCAAAAACTACAGACAATCATATAAAGATAATAATCATATAAAGTTATATAAAGATTATGAAGTCCTGGTACTACTCGTAGCATTTGTGCCACTGTCAGCAAGTCAAGGTTATGGTTGTGAAGCACCCTGAATTCAGCTGAAACATAAAAAATAGAAAACTTACAAATGTACTGGAAACACAGATAGGTCTTGAGTTTAATCTTGGTATGATAAAGAGATTTTGAAGTGCCACAGAGAGTTATAAAGGACTTTAGAGTATAGCCACACACAGTTTAAATGCTACCAATGCAAAAAAAAATCTTTGAAATCCCTAGATAAGAAGAACAGTTAGATTTGAATTTATGCAAATAATTAAGCTTGCTTAGTGCTTTAGAAGTAATCAGCCACAGTAGTAGAATTCTGACTTAGTGAATTATCTTCTGAGTTGCAAAGTGCAAAACAGATTATATGCTGAGGCACTGCAGACAGGTATTTCTCAGGGTTAATTCTCTTGTAAACATTGGATATTTCTGTAAAATGGACATATTTTGATCCCCTCCAACTGACTCATTACTACCCTAAATCATTAAGGTTTAAGAAAAAAAACACTATACCATCTATAGTTACCTCCCCCCAGTTAGTTTTATAAGGGTAGGAATACTTACTTGAAAGCAAAAATCATCACAGTCTATATGCCTGTAAAATCAATGTGCTGTGTCTTCCCCAGTCACAAGCTTCAAATACCCCCATGTTCCTATTTTTCATGGATTCTTATTCACTGGAAATAAAAGATCAAACCAAATTTGGAACTGAGCAAATTACCTGGTTTCTGTGTACAAGGTATAAAACTGCAAAAGGCATTCTACAGGTGAATGAATATTCTCCCCATTATTCCACAGAAATTAACTTTGTGTGTGTTTAACTTTGTGTGAAACTTGACATCAAACTCAGATTTTGTTACTTAGTGAATAGTAATCCTGCAGCCTTTGCCAAAACATGATCAGATTTTCTCACTAGATTACATATGCTTTACATTACTGGAAGTCATAGAATTCTTTTAAGCATATGAGAGTATTTTAATGCTAAATTACACTCTCATTAAAGTGAAAGGATTATAACACAAAACATCGTGCAGATGCTATGTAAAATTACTGAGATACATCCCAAAACAAGAATGTTTTTTCCCTATTTCTTTTCTCCTTCAGGAAAGTATAAAATCTCAACCTGTCTTTAGGGATTCCTCAAGAATACATTACCTGCCAGAGCACTCAGGTCCAGCTGCTGGGATAAATGAAAGCTGTCTTATGCTATGCTCAATTGTCCTTGTGCTACTCCTCATTTTTCCTAACACATTTTTTCCATTTCACGTAGAGAAAATCTAAAGTACTGATGTTTGTGGAAAAACAAAATAAAATTAAAGTCAGACTTTCAGAGCCTAATGAAGCAAGCAGAAATAGAAGTTAGATGTGGGTGTTTCCCAGGCATACCATATTATTCCTGACTGCCTAGCTACTCCTGCCTAGAGTGCTGGCTTTGCCAATGTACTCTGTTTAAATTCAGCATCTCTTTTGCAAGAAAGATTTTGCAAATGCAAAACAGTTTATGTTTATTATTTTCATTAAAATACAACATGTGATAAACATTTTTATGGTACTTTGACCCAGGATAAGTTGATTTCCAATATAATAGGAGAATAAGGCAGCAACATAATAACGAGCAGAAAAAAAAGGGAAGTATAGAAGACCTCAACATATCTGAATGTCATTGTAAGTATATGCTTGCATTCCTACACTACATAAGATTTGATTCTAGAATTCTTTATCAGTCTCATAGTGTAGAAAGTTTAGTGATACTAAAAGGAAGTCTATTACACTGAAGGGATATTAGTACCTTCTGAGAACTCAAATCCAGCCTGAAAGAAGAGACAGATCTTACTCATTTAATTCTTTTTGCCCTTATAAAGCAAGAAACTGTGATATCAAAAGAGGTAAACAGGACTCCCAGCCTCTGAATTAAATCTCAGGAAGCAAAGCTGAGGGTATCTTATCACAGTTGTCAGTGACAAGGCAGAGAGAAAGCCTGTAGGCCTGGTTGTACTGCTATCAACTACAAAATATCAGCAATTTTAAACATCTGAAGTACATGGTGTTTGTATTTTAGTACTGCATATATTACTCCTCTATAACCATTTTAAAATAAGTCTTATCTTTATTTACTTATCTGTAATCTGAAACAAACCGTGCTGCTTGCTGTTGTACAAATAAAAAACCAAAAAATAAAGGACCATAAAAAATATTCTTCCATTCCTAAACTTTGCTTGACATAAGGCTCTGTATTTATATTCCTTCATGGTCCTCTGAACTAACCTGCCACAACATAGCAACACAAATGACACCTTTTACTGAGCTTCTGAACAGAGTGATCTGTGTCACAAATAAAACTTACATTTTTCCTTCTGTCACAAAACACATTTGATTGCACTCATTTGGTGCTTCCCAGGTCCATCTACATCTCTCAACATATCTAATCTAAATACTAGTGGCTTTGCAGTCACCCTGTAACACTACTGCAAAGCAGGAAAAGAAAAATCCCTCTTGTAAGCCTGTATAAGTTTGTAAAAGCATCAGAGGCCTAGGATGCGCGACTCCATCACCACACGGCAGAATAACTCCCACCATGGTTGCCCTCAGAGTTATTTTCAGAAGGATACCCCATTTCTGATGGCTGTGTGGCAAAAGAGAATATGATGGCAGGTGTCAGGGTGGCTAAGGACTGGGGAGAAGCTTGCA